TAAGGGGGAGTGTCCCTGTTAAAGGGGTGGGAGGGGCCCGCGCCTCGGCCACCTCACGGGTGGGTGCGGAGCGCTCCGCGGAGAGGCCCGCGCCTGACACGCGGCCTCCACCTTGGCCTGCGCCCCGCCCAGCGTGCAGTTATCAGCACCGACCCCCTCCCCCGCATCGAATGTTCGGCGAGTCGTGTGCGTGTTCCCGTTCCCTCCATCCCCACTGCCTAGCCTTAAGCCCCCATCGCGTCCCGCGTCCTGCCCGGGTCCTCGCAACCGGCCTCTGGCTGGGCTCCCTGTCCCGCGCGGCCGCCTGCCATCCGCCGGACGCAGGCAACCTGTGTGATCGCAGTCTGGGGGGCCCCTTTGCAGGACAGAGCCAGGTTTTTAACGCTACCGCTCAGTCTTGGTGAGGGTACTTCGGGACGCACTCCCATTCTGCCCGGAGGTAGAACCCTCACTTGATAGAACCCTTTTGGGTTTGACATTATATATCAAACGCCTTAAAATATCTATACCTGTGGACTGCTATTATTCCTTATCTGGCTTCAAGAAATGATAGAGATGAGGACAAATATGTACGAAAAATGTTAACAGTTGCATGTTTATCATTGTAAAAAGCTGGAAACTTAAGTAGGCAATAATAGAAGACAAATAAATGCTGGCCCATCAATATGATGGAGCATTATTTAGTAACTAAAAAATTACAGAAACGAGTAAGGTGAGATATTTGTGAGATAATGTTAAATCAGCAAGCAAAATACCAAACTATTTACAGCATTATTCTAGTTTTGTTGGTAATGTATAACTGTACAGAAAAAAGACTGGAAAGGAATTACCCGATATTATCAGTAAGTATTGCCAGAATATTTTTTTTTTTACTTTTTCTTGAAACATTTCAATATTTTCTAAATATTTTACAAATATACAAGTGTTGGGGCACCTGGGTGACTTAATTGATTGAGCATCCGACTTCAGCTCAGGCCATCGTGATCTCACGGTTTGTGAGTCTGACTTCGGCTCAAGCCGTGATCTCATGGTTTGTGAGTTCGAGCCCTGGCTGGGCTCTGTGCTGACAGCTCAGAGCCTGGAACCTGCTTGGTATTCTCTCTCCCTCTCTCTCTCTCTCTCTCTCTCTCTCTCTCTCTCTCTCTCTGCCCCTCCCCCACTCATGCTCTGTCTCTCTCTTAAAAATAAACAAAAAAATTAAAAAACAAGTGTTACTTACAAATTTAGAAAGAAGTGCTTATAGAAAGCAAACTGAATCGCCCATATCTTTTTGAAAAGAGTTTACTTTCTTTAGCTTGAGAGTTTGAACTCATGAAGAAGGCAGGGTCTTTGGAACCAGACTTCTGGATCTGAATTTTCCTTTTCTAACTAACTGGCATGAACACTCGGGCAAGTTTCTTAATCTAAGTGCAGTATGTCATCATGTGAGATCTAGGGGTGGACAGGGTGACTGGAGGTAGGGGGCAGAGTTTCCCAAATGGAATCCTTACCTTTTAAGTTGTCACCAATCTGAAGAATGCCCCTCCTCACCTCCAAAAAAAAAAAAAAAAAAAAGACTGCAGCCACACACCCCCAGACACAACTGACATGCAAACACACACGTGCAAAGTTACGCAGAGACACTGTCTACAAGTGGGTCAGTGGCTGGATGAGTAAACACCTTATTTTTATACTGCTCTCCCTCACCACCCCAAAATGGGCACACACACCCCAGTCCATCTAACTGGTCTCTCAAACCCTGCTCCACCCATACTTAGGGGACCCAGCTGTGATGTGCACAGCACTGGGTTACTGTGTGAGTTTCCTACGGCTCCCTTAACAAAGTATCACAAATTGGGTGGCCTAAAATAACAGAAATTTATTCTCTCACAGTTCTGGAGGCTAGAAATCTGAAACCAGGGTGTCAGCAGGCCCATACTCTCTCTCTAAAGCCTCTAGGGAAGAATCCTTCCTTGTCTCTTCTGTCTTCTGGTGGTTCCCAGAATCCTTGGTGTTCCTTGGCTTGTGGAAGCATTATTTCTTTCTCTGCCTCCACCTTCACATGGCCATCTTCTCTCTGTGTCTGTATGTCTGTGTCCAAATTTCTCTCTTCCTATAAAGACACCAGTCATTGGATCAGGGCCAACCCGAATCCAGTATGAGTTCAACTAATTTTAACTTGATTACATCTGCGAAGATCCTGTTTCCAAATACGATCACAGGTTCTGGGTGGACATGAACTGGGGGGGGGGGGGGCATTATTCAATACAGTTACCTTCACCAAACCCTGCAGTTGAGGAGAGAAAACTAACCCCTCAGGAGCACATTGCTGAGGCCAAGGAGAAGGAACTGTGCTTCCCCTAAACCTTGCTGAGTGCTGCCACTGTGGCTGCAAGACCCAGGAGGAACCAGTAGCGGCTTTTCTCCCAGACAGCATGGTCGGCTAGATACCTGAATATACAGCCTGGAGAACCAGAACCCTGGGGCAACAGCCCAAAAGCCAGCTCCACCATCTCGCTTGATAGCATTTGACTTTGGGCAAGATACTTTACCTCCCTAAACCTTGATTCTCTCATCTGGAAAACGGAGCCGATGATAGTTCTATGTCGCAGAGATGTTGCGAGGATATTGTATGTAAAGCACTTAGCATAGCCTCTGACACACAGGAAGGGACGTGAAAAGAATAGCTGTGATGAGGATGAGGATGAGGATGATTTGACCTTTACTGCAATCCTGTGAAGTGGCTGAGGCATGTCAGTGTGTGTGCAATTTACAGGTGAGGCAGTTGAGAGCTAGGGAAGGGAAGCACCTTGCCCAAGCTCACATATAATTAAGCGCTGGAGCCACAGCCTACTTACTGGTCCTGTGCTCCTTTGACATCATAGCATCTCATGCTTTCCCAGGCACTTGTCTCCAAGAGCCAGCTGAAGGTGGGGAAATTAGACTGGCAGGGGTGTGGGACGGGTTGGATCGTTCACACCCTATTCCTGAGAATTTGGCACACCCCCTCAAATTAGAGCTTTCCTAGATGATGTGCCTACCTTCCCTTTTAGGTCCTGAGCCGAGCACTAGAGAGCCCAATCTATCGGTGTCCCACTCACAGATTGGCTCTCTGACCATCCCTGAAAGTTTCAGCAAGGTGTCCGTTTCTGTAAAAAAAAAAAAAAAAAAAAAAAAAAATCTTCTGTGAAGATTTCTCCTTCATCTTAGGACTGGACCCACATCACATCACACTCTTTAAACTCCCTGTCTGCCCTGTCTCTGGACTTTGTCATGGGATTCCCTGGAGCTCCCCAGCCTCCACTGAGTGGACCATCCAGTGTTACAGCTGCCATCTTAGTCACAACGCACCAAGACGTTGTCATCTTAGGGGATTTGGCATAGTTTGCCTTGGTGGATGGCAGGGTCATTAACCTCAAGAAAGTAATGGCTCATCTTCATTCATCCATTCTACAAGCACGCGTGGAGCACCTATGGTATACAAGGTGCAACATGTAAACTTGGAGAAGTCGTGCTCCTTGCCTTCATGGAACTTACAATGATCGAGACAAGCATTTCTAAAAAGGCAACATGTGATATATGCTATAACACACACCAGTAAAGGGGCAGTGGGGGCACTCAGGAGGGTCTGGATGCTTCAACGCTGCAGGGACAAGCTGAGGAGGTGGGAAAGGTTTCACGGAGAGGCCATGCTACGGTTGACTCTTGGAAGATCGATGAGTGTCCCCTAGATAGATAGGAGGCTTGTGGAGGCAAGAGAAAGCAGGAGGTTGTTCCCCGCAGAGGGCGCGGCACAAGCAAGATACTGAAGTAAAACTGCCTGGCATTTAGGGGAACTATGAGCGGCATGGCAGCACACCCAAAGGGTGCAAGGTGAAGGGGGCCGGTGGTGGAGCTGACAGGTAATGTTGAAGAGCTAGACAGATGTGGAAACATACTTTGGAAACATAGTTTTCTTAGCAGGGTTCTAAGCAGATGGGTTGTTGGTGTGTGTGTGTGTGTGTGTGTGTGTGTGTGTGTGTGTGTGTGTTTTATTATATTTGTGTTTTAGAAAGACCACTTTGCTGAACCAAATGAACTTGAACTTTGTGCTGGTGCCACGAAGGCAAGGCTCGTGGTAAGGTAAACCAAAAAGGAGACAATTCCAGCAGTCCAGTCAAGATAGGGGGACCTGACCCTAGGCAGCAACACTGGAGATGGGAAAGAAATGTGAGGGCACCGGGTTGGCTCAGTCGGTGGAGCATGCAACTCTTGATCTTTGGGTTGTGAGTTCAAGCCCCGCACTGGGTGTAGAGATTACTTAAAAATAAAATCTTTTTAAAAATGTTTATTTATTGGGGCACCTGGGTGGCTCAGTTGGTTAAGCAACCAACTTCAGCTCAGGTCATGATCTCACAGTTTGTGAGTTCAAGCCCCGCTTCGGGCTCTGTGCTGACAGCTCAGAGCCTGGAGCCTACTTCAGATTCTATGTCTCTCCCTCTCTCTACTCCTCCCCTGCTCACATTCTGTGTCTCTCAATAATAAATAAATGTTAAAAAATAAAAAATAAATAAAATGTTTATTTATTTATTTTGGAGAGAGAGAGCACATGCAAGCAGGGGAGGGGCAGAGAGAGAAGGAGAGAGAGAACCCCAAGAAGGCTCCATGCTGTCAGCGCAGACCCAACACAGGGCTAGATCTCATGAATCATGAGATCATGACCTGGACCAAAATCAAGAGTCAGCTGCCTAACCAACTGAGCCACCCAGGCACCTACTTAAAAATAAAATCTTTAAAAAAAAAAAAAAAAGAAATATAGGTTCAAGAGATTTGAAAGAGGTGGAAGCTATAAGATTAATTGGATGTGGGAAGTGAGGAAGAGGAAGGAAATGGGGATGGCCCATATGATTCCAGGATAATCTGGCTTGGTTGACTGGATGCTTGGTGGCTCCATTCAGCAGATTAGCAAGAGCAGGTCTGGGAGAAAGATGAGCTCCCCATTAGGTGTACAGAGTTTGAAAGGCCTCCTGTAGGCACCTGAAGCCATGGAGATATGGATTTGGAAGCATATCATAATTGTTCAAATAGCTCAGGGGTGTTGCTGGAAGTACAGCAACACTGGCAGGAAAGAGGAGACAGAGAAAGAACTTGGTCAGAGAAACAGGAAAAGAACTTGGAAAGAATAGACTCATGGAAACCAAGGCAGGAAAGGGTTTCAAGAGATCAGTGGTTTCCTTTTTTTTTTTTTTTTTAATTTTTTAATTTATTTTTGAGAGAGAGAGACATAGCATAAGTGGGGGAGAGGCAGAGAAAGAGGGAGACACAGAATCAGAAGCAGGCTCGAAGCTCTGAGCTATCAGCACAGACCCTGATGGAGGGCTTGAACTTGCGAACTGTGAGATCATGACCTGAGCTGAAGTTGGACGCTGAACCAACTGAGTCACCCAGGCACTCTTAGGTCAGTGGTTTCTAATGTTGAGAAGAGGTAAAATAGGATGAGGAACAAAGAATGTCTAAGATTTGATTACTTGAAGCCCATTGGTGATGCTTACCTGAGCAGGTTCAGTGGAACACGGATGGGGTGGAGGCCTAACCTCAGGGGGCTACAGGTGAAGGCGAAGTGAAGGCTTAGAAAGACTGTCATCTGTTCTTTAAAGAACTTGGCTGTGACGGGAGAGGGAGGTTTGGATTTCTTTCAGAATGACTGACCAGTTTCCCTGAGCAAACCTTCTGCTAAAGAAGCAACTCAAAATGCTTAGTAAACTACCAAGAAAGTATAGAATACTTGAGTCAAAAATGAAGGAACAAAAAGAGGGGAAAGTAGAGCAGCAAAGCTGGCTTTCACCTTGAGAGCATTTGCTTACCAGGTGAACTTGAACTTTGGTTTTCAAAGGCAAGCGGATACAGGAAACAGAAGAGAAAGCCCAAGTGCCCAAGGTGAGGAGACTAATAAGCAACTATCTGCACAAAGGTGACCCACAATGGGTAATAATATACTAGGTTGAAGGATGAACTAGAAATAATTGACTCCCCCAGGAGATAGGCAAGGAAAATTGTTGGACTTGAACCTTGGCTCTGAGTGAGAATGGGGGAAAATCTTCCCTGAGAATTCTCAACCACAAGCTGGCCTGTGTGATTGAATTTCATTCCAGATTCCCCCTACCTGGGTGATGTGAAAAACTGCACACTATTTGGATTCAAGTAGTCCTGTGCTGGTGGTACCTCCTGATTGTACCTGGAAGAAGGAAGAGCAGATCATCTCTAGAGGAAGCCACCTTCATCTCAAGCTACAACAAATTCTCACAGACAAAATTGCAAGAAATATAAGCTCTGTAGTCAAAAATCCAAAAAGCAACTAAATAGGGCCAAGAGAAAAATAGGAGCTGACTTAGAATTGCATACAATAGTTCCCCTGTCCACAGGGGATGTGTTCCAAGACCCCCAGTGGATGCCAGAAACTGAAGATAGTACTAAACCCTTTATATACTATGTTTTTTTTTTCCTATACATATCTATGATAAAGTTTAACTTATAAATTAGACACAGTGAGGGATTAACAACAATAACCAACAATAAAAGAGAGCAATTTATAAAAATATACTGTGATGAAAGTTATGTAAATGTGGTCTCTCAAAATATCCTATTGTACTGTACTCACCTTTCTCCTTGTGATGATGTGAGATGATAAAATGCCTACAAGATGAGATGAATGAGGTGAACGATGTAGGCTTGTAATGTAGTGTTAGGCTACTACTGACTTTCTGACAATATGTCAGGAGGATTGCTTGCTTCTGAACCATGGCTGACCAAGGGTAACTAAAACTGTGGAAAGGGAAACCATAGATTAGGGGGGCTACTATACTCATAGAAAACATCTTTCAAAAATGAAGGCTAAATAAAAAAATGTATAAATTATATATGAATTCATGAGTACTTTATTAACTGTCAGGTATTTGCTAATAGAAGAGAAATAGATTATATAACTTCCAGGTTAAGAGAAGGAAGAAAATAGAATGAGAAAAATAATCAATCCGAAAGGAGGCAAGAAAGGAAAGCAAAAAAATAATTTTAAGGTAGGATGAATAGAAAACATAAACAAAATGGTGAAAATAAATTCAAATACATCCATGATTACAATAAATGTGAATGGGCTAAATAATCCAATGTAAAGACACAGACTTCCAACCTGGACAAGAGAGAGAAAAGGAGATTTCCAGAAGGATACAGAAGGTCACAGGAGTGTTTGCTGTGTTTTGTTGGTTTAGTAAGAAGGGAGAGATTGCAACTTAGACTGCGGTAAAGGAGCCAAGATGAGTTCAGAGATACTGTGGAAGAAGAAGGAGTAAGTGATGGATCCAGAACCTACGGTGTATGGGGAACACAGGATCAAGATCCAGAGTAGCCTTGGACAGAGGCTGGAGGAAGAAGGTGAACTAAGGGAGTTTATAGGCATGAGAGGGCCACCTGGGTGTTCTCAGCCAAACTGCAGTCATGGCCCTCTGTTGTGGTACAATATGGTCAGGAGGCAGGATGGCATATCATGGTGGGTGTGCTTAAATAGAGTGGTGAGCATTTGTAAAAGCCACTGTGGAGAATGGGAGTGGCATGCAGGGACATGGAAAAGCAGAAAGGGATCACCAGAGTGGCACTGGGGCCCGACCAGGGTTTCAGAACCTAAAACTGTGTTCATAACAAACTTTGGTACAGTTTCCTCTGGAAATACTTAGCAGTCCTGGGTGGGCAGAAGAGGGGACATTTGGAGGATGAAAGGTGAGAAGTAGGATGATAGGTATTGGTAGATGAAAGATGGGACAGAGAGTTGAGAGAAGCAGAGGGAGGGCAGTGTAGGAATGGAAGGCACCTGAATGTGATATGGCTGGTGGGTGAGGATGGGAGTCTGGCCAGAGGGGCCAGCCTGAAAGCCCCAGACAACATCAGATACCCGATGCCATCAACCATGTGCAATGGTCCCAGAGGATGATGCTGACCTCTGGTGTACTGGAGAGAAACTCTCCCCTGGGTTTTCTCACTCGCTGCTCCAGAGGCCATTGCATGATTTTAGAGTTTTTTCTTTAACCCTCACACTGACCCTGTTCCACTCCAGTGCCTCCTTGGTAAACAGGCCTGGTGCCCTCAGCCTTGATGATTCATGCTTCAATTTCTATGTGAGCATGCCCAATGGCCAAACAGGATGGTTCTCCTGGTCATTCTCCTTTTGTTGGGGACCTCTGAGCTTTTGCCTGTCTGGCCCCCTCTTCTCCACACCCTTAATGAGACTCCAGTTCAGAGCCTCATACCACACATCCCTGGTACTGCTAGTGCCACAACCTCTCTGCCGCCTGGCCACCCTCCCTGTGGTCACCAGGCACACCGCTGCACATCCATGTCCAAGAAAGCCCCTTTCACTTTGTCATCTACCTTCCTGACAGCATATAGGCTCCCTATTGCCCCAAACACCAAGCCAAACCCATGACATTCTGAATCTGGAGGAGATTTTAGAACTTATTTTAGTCTGATCTCATTTTACAGGTGGAGGAATTGAGGCTCAGAGAAGATAAATGACTTGTCCAGGATGGAACCAAAACTGGCAGTCAAGCCCTCTACCTGAGGAAAATTTAATATCCATCCAGACTTACTTAAAAGTAGAGCACAGAAAGCGACCACTTATTCTCCTAAGAGCTTTAGATGGATGATTTGTTTTATTTATTTATTTTAGTAATCTCTACACGCAACACAGGGCTCAAACGCACGACCCCAAGATCAAGAGTCCCATGCTCCACCAACTGAGGCAGCCAGGTGCCCCCCAGGTCTTCAGATGGAGTCATCAGTCTTCACAAGCACTCCATTGTAGAGATGAGGAACTGAGGCATAGAGAGCTTCAATAACCTGTCCAAGGTCACTCAACTGATTAATCCCCACCCTGATAGCTCTCCTATTGTCCTGGCTTCTGTCTCCCTCTCCCTCGCTCTCTCCCTGTCTTGTATACACACACCCACACACACCCCTCCACCACCCCACCCACACACCAAATCCTCACTCATAGTCTTCCTCCTGCCTAGACAGCTCTTGATCCCTCTTTTCCATCTGGATGATGAGAATCAATGCCCCCTTCTCCTGGGTGAGTACATGGGTCTGCCCTCCATCCACAGATGATTGCACCAGGGTTGGGCATCTGAACCATGGAAAAGCAATAAGTAGACTGACTGAACTATTTAATTTTTCTCTGGTGGGCTTCAAACTAAGGAGACGCAATAACTGAGTTCCTTAGATGGTGGCATGAGCTAGAGCAGTACTCTCGGCCATGAGGCATCAGGGTGAGCTGGGAGAGGAGAGTGGAGTGGAGCAGAGGCAGGGAAAGGGGGGGGGGGGGGGGGGGGAGAGAGAGAGAGAGAGAGAGAGAGAGAGAGAGAGAGAGATTACTGAGATGTGCCTGTGGGTATGTACATGTGCACACACGCCCTCCAGACTTACCCATTCAAACAATACCCAGCCCAGTGTCTTCTCAGATCCCATGAGATCTGGCTGTATTTTCCAGTCCCAGTTTCTCCGAGATTCCCATGTCTTTCCAGAGAATTCCCTTTTCACTTCCATTGGTTTGAGTGTACTGGTCCTTGTAGTCTGCAAGCCTTAGCTAGAACACCAGTTCAAGGAATTGTAATGATTCAGAACGAGCTCAGGGCCTGACTCCTCCAGGAAGCCTTTCCCTTCCTGGCTGTGTTCCTCTCTCCTTCCCCAGACAGACCCTAAACCCTACCCCTTCCCTTTCCCTCCCGATGTTTAGTAAATACCCACTCATTGACTGGGCCTTCTAACTTTGGGGCACCCATTTATAATTTTGCCATCTGCAGGTGGACTATCTTTATTGCTATCATTTTATGTTCTAGCAAATCCATGCATCCATCCATCGTATATTTATCCCGGGAACATGTCTTGAGTGCTACGTGCCAGGCACCGGGCTAGGCCTTGGGAATGGTTGAGATGAAAGTCCTAGTTCTTGCTCTACAGAAGTTTATAGTTCAGGAGAGAAATCCAGAGTCTCATCACCAAACTGGTCATACCAATAACACCAATACAGCCTCTGGTTTCATGATCCCAGACACACACACACACACACACACACACACACACACACGGGCTCTGTCTTATTTTCTCCTCCCCGTTCCTTCAGCCCCATCCTCACACCAAGTGACCACCCCGTCCCCTGCCTGACCTCACACTAACAGTGCTCTCTGCTCAGGAAGATGCCCTGGAGTTCTCTACCCTCCACGGTCTCTCCTTTCTGATCATTCTGTGGTACAGGAATTGACACTATAGTCTAGAGTGTGTGTGTGTCTTTATGCTATTTTAAGACCCCAGCACTTTGCAAAAACCTGGTGGAGAATACTGCCAAAGCCAAAGGGTGGGGGAGGGGGCTGAGCAACCTGAGCCTGGGGCCGAGCGGGTGTCTTCGAGCCAGGTTAGCGGAGCCAGCTGCCAAGACTCTGCTCCAACCTCCCGGTTAACTGCTGGCGTCCCGGCGGACCTGCTGGCCCGGCCCAACTCCAGCTCCACGTTCTCGTTGCCGAGCCCGGCCCTCATCCCTCCCCAGGAATCGCTTAGGAGTTTGCACACCAGGCAGCATGTAAAATTGTTGTGTTTCTGGAAACACACACACGCAGAGAAGCCTTGAAATTCTTCTTGGAACAGGTCCAGGGATTTATTTATGAAATTCCCAGGGGGCGGGAGAGACAGAAGTCTGGACTTTGCAGACTGAGTGCTGTGCCGCCATCCCATCAACATCACCACCAGCTCTAGGGTACACTTACTAAATGCCCACCACATGCCTGGGCCAGCCTGCAGGGGGCTGTGGTTGGGCAGGAGGCATGCTCAGGTGCGCAATACTCAGTGGGGACCGTCTCCCCCGCCCTCTCCACGAGAGGAGAAAAACAAACATGA